TTAGTACAATCCCCCCTATTATCAAGTCCCCACTGCATAATCCACTAGAGTCACTGTCCATCAGCATAGTAGGATGCTATAGAGTCACTATGGATAAGTAATTTTTCAAGAATAAGGGCAAAATAATTTGTTTACCATAAGAGCATTCTGAGTGTAATTTAATTATTTTGCTAAGGAAATATTTTGCTGGGCCTGAGGATAACCGAAAGTCATCACTGAGGTGGAGAGATGTAGAAGGTCGGACTGAATCCAAGCACACTAGCCACCTACCGTAAATTGATTTTTAAAACAAATCGCTGATACCCAGCTCTTACATTGTCATTTTTCCAATTTTCACCAAAACACTATGAACAAAGTTCTGATTATATTTTCTGATCATTCAGTTGAACAATGGGGCAAAGAAGATTATTAATTTTAATTTTTTGTCTTATGTTATTCAGGCCAGATCTGTGAATTCCAGGGAGTGATTCAAAACCTCCATTTCTCGACATTTCCTCTTATATCGTGGTCTCCTATTCAATATTTGGCAGCAGATAGACTAAGTTTATTTCCTTACTCGGTTGTGTTTTTAATGGGACCGGTACAGGGAATTACAAAGAGAGTTTACCCAAAATTCTGCACTCCTGAAGCTTTGTATTGGTAAGAACAAATCTCTGGGCAAATACATGGAGGGCTGAAGCAGCTTTGAATAAGGGTAGCACAGAAGATAACACGCTTTATTTTCATTACCGCAAGCCCAGAGGTGTTTGCTGTTGGCTGCGAGTGGCTGTGTACACTTAAGAGAATGGGTGGGAAGGAGGCATGTCAGCACCAACCCTCTCTCATCTAACGTGACCTAAAAGACTGCTAGGCAAAAAGAAAGAATTAAGAGAGAAAATAATCATGCAAATGGTAAAGGAATGGCTCGGGGCCTTAACAACAAACATGTTATTTTTCAAATAGAACTAAAAGTGTTTCAATAAAACACTTGCTCAGGTGTGATAGGATCCCTTCTGGTTTCTGGAAAAGGTAGTATCGATGTGCTCTGTAAAGATGTCCAATAGATCATCTAAAACTACTCGTTACATTACAATATCAAATTTTACATTCATAGACAGAAAAAAGCTTTTCACCATGCCCTGTAAATATTTCATCAAATCATTACTAACGGTTTGAGAGGAGGACCTTTTGGCGAATGACACAGCAGGACTTGATAATGAGGAAATGTTGATTTGATGTCCCAACAGCTAAGGCATGCTTTAAGTAATGTCTGCGAGGGAGCAAAGCAGCTTATCCCAGTTTCCCGCAACAAGAAAACCATTCAAACAGTTGTTATTCGGAGAAATGTATATGGATAAAGGCCAGAAGCTCCAAAATTGCACTGCCGGATTTGGGGCAGATGGTAGGCTGTTTTGTACACCTGTGCATGGTGCAGCCAAGGCCCCAGCCTCAGCTCTGTGCGCGTGTGGGCTGCCAGGGGGCTTGCAGTGCTCATGGGGGAGGACTCTGAGTGAGGGTGTGTCGGCTGCTCTTGTACCCGGCGTGAACATGCACACTACAGAGGACTGCCTTGTTCTTCCCAAACTGTACCGTTCTCACAATCACCCCACGGGAAGGAAAGCTTCCATTCTTTCTGAGTCCTGGAGGCATTGCGCTGATGTGGAGCCAGAGACCCCCAGGACTGCCCGTGTGTTCATCTCCCTGCCCCATTGGGCACGTGGTGAGATTACACATCTGTCCTTCCTCACTTCATAGGTGGCTGCCCATTACAGGTTTCTTCCCAGCACAGGATTTTATTCCAAGAGACAAAGAAAAAGCCGGCTGATGGTGAACCAAATGGGTTCCACAGATTTTCAGTTGTAAAGCTGTGATCCAGCTCTTTCATTTTCCTTTCTGAGAATCACTTTCTGGCTCAGAAAAAAAGGCATCGTAATACCCACATGGCTTTAGATGCCACCTGAAATGACAGCCCACTTGTGCTGCCCCGAGACAGGTCAAGGCTATGCATTTAAGATGAAGTCTGTCCCTTCTTTTCTTTAAACCTAATCTGCTTGGGAAAAACAGCTCAAGAATCATCATCTCGAAACACACTTGTCTGATTTCATTCCTGCAGTACCACCTTCGGCCTCATTCACACTGCCACCAGGCCTAAACACGTTCGGTTTGATTCATCATGAGCATTAGAAGTAGACTGTCAAAACATTCATCAGAGAGAAGGAAAATTTATCAATTTTTAAAACTTCAAAAAGAAAAGGAGAGTCGGTGCCATCAGATGTAAACGATCTCCAACGGTGCATACACTCTACTGACTCAGAGCAGAACGGTGAATCATTTAAAAATTAACTAGTCTCCTGGAAATTATATTAAATCTGAAATATTTGGGGGGGAGGGTATTTAAAGGAGAAAAATTTCATTTTGAAATGTGCAAACAAGACGCAGGATTTCATTTGTTCATTTCTGTGTCTTCCAAGACCGCTTGGAAGATCAGATGCTTCCCCAAATCTTAGCCTCATTTCCTGTTAGGATCTCCCACAGCTGTTGAGGCTCACGGTGAGCTTTTTGTCTCAAAGGCTGTGACTTTCAGTCTGTGAAGAGAACTCTTGGAGTACTTACACCATAAAGAGCTTTCTTTGTTTTAACCGGTGGTCTGGTAGCCAGGTGGGAGCTCTGCCGCTGAATTGCTGATGCTCCCGGGACACTGTCTGTGCCTCCAGCCCCAGCCCCAGAAAATGACACAGATTTGGGTGGCGAACAGGGCTTTAGAAAAATCAGCCAGTTCCAGCTGAATCTATGGCAGAACTGTAGGACTAGCAGAGACTGAAGAGTCCTCTAGCCTTTCTAGGCACTCAGAAGGAACTCTCTGTCCACTGGGACTTCACCTGGGAGGGCCTTGTACAATTTTCTAAGTGTGACTATGGAATTGTTGTCACACCTTAACTGTGGAGGTCCTGGTGAGGTCGGCAGGGTGAGTGTTAACTGCGCACATGGGGAAACGGAAATACCGAGCCTGAACTGTGAGCTTGCCCGGAGTGGCAGATAGGAACTAATGACCTAACTCTTGGTAATTTCTTGCTGCCATAGCTGAGAAAACGAAGAACGCAGTTCAGGCATGGGTTCTAGCCCCGCTCCACGGTCTGACTATAACCTGAGTAAAGCACGCCTCTGCAGCGGTTTCCTCGTCGGCAAGGTGACGGTGTTTCCTGCACTACCGCCCTGCAGAAGCCTGGCCCCTGCCTTCTTTCCTATGCTGGGAAGAGAGGACATGAGAGGCTTACGGCCAAAACAACAGGAAAATTGAGCCCAGATGGTTTAAAGGGAGAAGATGGGCAGAAGCCCAAAGTCTTGGCTTATCTTCTAATTAGATGTTTCTTTTGTCAAAGCAATTAGCTTCTTCGTTTCCTTAGCAAAATTTAGGAAGTTTTACCACATTGCGAATATTTCTTTTATTCAGGCCTTAAGATTTCCAGTCTAGTTTTCTTTCCTGTAGATCGTGCTGCCTCTGAAACTCTATTTTACCTAAAGATGAATGGCTAGGCCACTGACATGCTATGAAAAACCAAGAAACTGCAAAATCAGTGTAACACATTTGTAGTCCCATGTGATTCACTCTTGTTTTTTAAGGATTGTTAGGAGCCCGCAGCAGCTAATGGAATTAAAACCACCAGGCAAAGCTTAATGAGGAGTCAGTCGAATTATTTTAGGAACTATGAAGGCACCGTCTGTGGCCTACCCCCAGGAACTCACTAAGACATTAGCCCACCTGATGCCCAGCAGAGAGAGCATTTCTCGGGGATCGTGGGTGCCCCTAGGCTCCTGCCCCAGCGGCCAGGCTCAGCCGCTCAGAGAATCAGCCCCTTGACTAGATGTGGAGAAAGGCAAGTTTTCAAGGTAAAATGCAGGGCAGAGTTTAGGAGAAGGGAAAGGCCAGCAGAGTGGATGCTTTCACATTAGCATTTCATCATGTCTGACGACACAAGACGATTCAGAAGTTTACAGCGAAATGACTAATGCCCGAAGGGGCCATGGGAAGAGCATCTTTTCTGGACTTGAAGGGAGAGAGTCCTTTGCTGCGGCTCACCCTGGACTTGGTGGGCTGGAGACCAGGCAGGAACCGGCCATGACTTGTCCAGCCCCAGAGGAGAGGGGCCCTGGGACACGCTGTGCCCTCGCTTGGAGGCTGGGGAATCTCGCTGTGCCCCGTGCTTCCATGTCTATGATCTTAATCCCTGCATAACACAGGGAGGAGATGGGGCAGGTGCCACACATTTCACAGATGAGAAGAGTGACACTCAGAAAGTGTAGGCAGTTTGCCCAATTCCCAAACATACAGCCAAATTCCGGCCTCAAACCTAAGTCTGTTGACAGTCAACCTAGTATTCTGTCACTCAGAAGGATTCCAACCTTTGTTTTTCTAAGTTAATCTGAAGTTTTTTTATCCAATGCCTGTGGTGTGCAGAACAACTTACGTAGGTAGATGGGAGAGAAAAGCAATACAAAGAAATGGCCTCTCATCTCAAGAAGATATATATTTAATGAACAGATTGACAAATTATAAATGTTCAACAAAAAGTAAACTCACACGTACAGTGATTCTCCGCAGCGTGCTGGGGGGAAATGCTGGTCGGAGATTGTGCAGATGGGCTGGAGAATTCGCCGAGTCACTTTTCTGGAGAAGGAAGGGTGGGGGCTCACTGCTCAGGTCCTATTCTCAGAGCATCCACTTGGAGCATCTGTTGAAATCGCAGCAGATGGAGCACATCAGAAATATATTTTCCTCTTTATGTTATCCTTAGTCCCTTGGAGAAACCTGGACCACGGCCACTCTGGAGATCAAATAAAAGTTCATTTTTGTGTCATCACTTGTAACCTAAAGATGTGAACATTCTTGTATGCAGGGAAGCTATTGCATTCGAAGGCTTCCCTGATGGGTTTTGTATTTAAGGCTGCCTATGAAAACTAGACCTGAGATTGAAATGCGCTGCTTTCTGAATAAACTCAGTTGTTTTGTTTTGCTTTTGCAGCATCTGTGGACACCCAATCCCCTGCTGCCCTTATTTGAAAACCAGCTTTTGTTGTGCCGATCAAACGGCCTGCGATTTTTGCCAACGCTATCGCGACAAAATATGCTGATTCTGTCCTTTTCAACCCCTGCGTCAACCTGACTTTCGGTATTCTTGTGCATTCGTGACCCTCCGTAAAGATGTCTGAACCTGACTTTTCGTCTGTGTTTTCGGGGAATATGGAGAATGGGACTTTTCTTGAGCTGTTCCCCACATCCCTGTCCACATCGGTGGATCCATCCTCAGGCCACCTGTCCAATGTCTACATCTATGTGTCCATATTCCTCAGCCTTCTAGCCTTTCTGCTTCTGCTTCTAATCATTGCCCTCCAAAGGCTCAAAAACATCATCAACTCCAGTTCCTCCTGCCCGGAGTATCCAAGCGACGCTGGGAGCTCTTTCACCAATTTGGAAGTCTGTAGTATTTCCTCTCAAAGATCCACTTTTTCAAACCTTTCATCCTGAAGAAAATGGAAGCCACCTTGAATGCTGCTGCAGCGTGGATTTTTTCCTCATGGGGGGTGTTGCATGGAGCGGTCGCCTCATGAAACAAATACCCCCTTTCTTTTTCACCCCTCATTTCTTTCCCACCCAGGATGCTTCTCATTTGTGAGTGTGGGAGTTGATGCTGACAGAAATGCGTGCAAAGCTGAGGTGCAGAATTTCGCACAAACCACCTGACGGGTCTGGAGCTGACGTCTTCCATGTGGACCAGCTCATTCCCCACTGTTGGGTACCTGAGGCAGGGCCCCCGTGAGGCGGCCTCGAAGTGGGCGCTGGAGGTGGACGTGTGCACTTCACTTCTCTTAACAGAACCTTGAAACCAGCTGAGCTGGCAGAATCTGGCAAAACTAAGTCTGAGCTATTTAGAAGGTATTTTCTGTGTTTGAAAGATAAAGTGGAAACACCAAATTAAGAAAAAGAGATTTAGATGTGACGTATAACATTTAGCTTTAATGTATAACATTTGTAAAACCGGGGGCAAAAATATGCTGTTTTCTTTAACTTTACTTTAACAGATGAAAGTCACATTTATTGACGAAGTAAGTCCTATTTGGAGACATTTTAGAAGACTTTCACTTTTAATAGAAGGCAAGTTATGTGTTATGATGCTGTTCCTGCCTCTTAGATTTTTTTCTCTACCTATGTTAGAGTCATAACAGCCTACAAATGTGGATGTCTGTGTGATAACTGCTGTTACTGTTACTAAGAGAAACACCAGAAGAGACACACAATAAGTTTTTATTTTATATCTGTAATTTCTAGCAGAGGGAATTAAGCATATGAGAAATATTCACTTAGTTGCATTTTATACAGTACTGACTCCTACCAGGCATGTTACTGTTTCTTCATTCAGTGTCACAGTCTTTATAAGTTTGGGGCAGAATTATACTAAGGCTCTGAGCTCTCAGATGTTCTCATTAGGTTGCAAAACTCAGAGACTAAGTTGCTAATACACATGCTACTATATACCCCATGAATGTTACAAGTCTTTGGTAATTAGTTGTTGTATGTTAACATACTACTCTGCATTAGGATTGTAAGATGTGGTTTTATATTAAAAATTGTAGACACTCAAAAACTGTGTAGCTGCTGGGAGCTTGGTGACCCTGGCAGCTGCCAAGCAGTGGTCAGCCCAGCCCCAGACCTGACACTTTCTCCACGGAATGAGGCATATACGTGAGCACAGACATGGGATGTGAAGGGATCAAACTGTCCCTAAAAACAAAACGAAACTTCAGCTTCTTAAGAGTAAGGATTTTCATTTAATTTTAAAAATTAATGGCCCACAGCCTAAACATTGAACTTATTCAGTGACAGAGCCCACTGCATCGACATGCCCCTGTTTTCTCATGGCAACTGGGTCATTTCCTTTTCAAAACTGGAATGGGACAAAGAACCCAGCAGTTTTACAGAAAATGTCATTGTCATTCTAAGATGCTGAGAGTGCTGAGGTCTGTTAATGAGGATAGGAAGGTTTTGTTTTTTCAATCCATAAGGCTTATACTTAAATCAGACCACATTGAACTACTTATATCAAAAATGTCCCCAAACACTGTAAGACCTGCACACAGTGGCTGCCGTGAAATACGCAATTGGTGGAAGATGAGCTTCTGCCGCCGTAAAGCCTGGCGGCGTGTGGAGTGTCATGTAGCATAAATGCTGGGCTCGGAAACCTCTGCTGTTCGGGATCACTATTGGCACTCTCTGAATGTATATATATATGTGTATGTGTACTAATAATATATTCACACTCGCCCAATTAAAAGTGTGAAAGCTACACAGGATCACAGAGGCTCTGTGTTATCACTTTTGCTCTTTGATTAATCTTGCGCTATTTTGGTTATCGAGGAAGAAAGGACATGGATGAACTTTATACAGTTCCTTCTGCACAAAATACAAGGGCTTCTGAAAGTAAAGATTTGTTTTAAGTCTGCAGTCCCCTAGCCTGCCACAGCGGTTCTTACCGTCCAGGTGAAGCAGGTAATTAGGAGCAAAATCAAACAGTATAAAATAGGATTTGTCATGACAAGCACAACTTGAGATGAATTTGTGGTGTTGAAGAAGTTCTGAAAGGTTGGATCCTGGTTTATAAATGAAGGAGCAAAGCCCTTGGAAACCTGGGCCGCCTCTTCCTGGCCTGGGTGAGGCGGTCCACGTGGGAGGCTTTTCCATCCCTCTGTCTCTGCACATCCTCTCGGGAGCTGGGTCAGCGGTGAGCGGCCCAGATGTTGGCCTCTCCCGTGCCCTGCAGTAGCCCCCTCCCCCTCGGGCAGCAACCCCCACACGTCCCTGGGCAGAGGAATCACCTGGGTGTTCAGACAATACTCCGGTTCTCAGGCCCCAGCCCAGGCCCCGGGAGCGCAGCCAGGGAGCTGGGATTTTTGACAAGGACCCTGCGTGATGCTCACTATCCGTGGGACACGCTCGGGCAGGGGAAAGGTCAACATGTATTGCTCGAGGGTATTTGGGGAGGACGGGTCTGACCGCTCGCCCACTACCTAAGTACCTGCTGTTTGACCAAGCTAAGTGTCCCCACATACACAGCTCCCACTCCCTCTGACCACAGGGACCCAGGCCCTTTCCTGCGAGGGTGTGACCTCCTGGCCACCGTCCTCAGTGGGAAGCCACCGTCACAGCCCTGGGACTAGTGGAAGGATGACAAGAGGCCGGTCACGTCCCCTCTTCTCCCCAACTCCTGTCACAAGATGAGGTTCCTGCAACAGCCTAGGTTAGAGGATGGGGTGAGTGAGAGGAAGTAGTTTATGCTGTATGGTAAGTAGACTCATCCTGCAATCCAGAGGAAAATGGTAGTACAACAGAACGTGAAACATTCTCCAGGGGAGACGCCAGTTCCTAGAACCGCTGCCCTGCATGGGGCGTGCCTGCCCTGGGGGGTAGGCTCCAGGTCCAAACCAGCGCCAGGCCCCGCTCTTCTGAAGGAAGTCCTCTAGGCTCCATCCTGGTGGGCATGATGCACAGAACCCGAGCCTTCAGACAGTATTTTGCAGAGCCTGAGGCACTTGGGACAGAGTGCCTTGGGGGTGTGAGTGGAGGTGGGGGTGCTGGCGGGAAGGCGCAGCAGGCGAATTCCAGGAAGCTCAGGGCCACCCAGCACTGGGTCCCCTCACCCTCAAACCCCGGAGGGGCCAGTCACGCCACTCTGCCTGGTGACCCAGTGGGCAGCTCTCAGGGCCCAGCTGCATCCTTGTGTGCGCACAAACGCATACACGCAGGAGCTCACAAGCACACACCCTTCACACACACACCCCTCCCAAGAACCAACAGTAATGCTCAGTGTTCAAAGGCCACCCAGCTTGATTCAACCTGCCTGCAGTGGCAGGCAGAGCAGCCAGGTCCCCTTCGTTCATCCTTTTACATCAAAATCATGCCCAAATGTCTACATTTTGTGTGAAACAATCCCTAGCAGACTCCTTCACACTCAGCAGGGCTCACTGAGCCCTGCAGTCCTGTCTGACCACACCAAGACCTCATCAACCCGTCCCACGAACTGACCGCTTTGCTTTATCTTAGGTGGGATCTTAGGTGGGGGCTTTGCCACTCCGAGCACTGTAAGGGGACACTACGAGCATCGGGGAACTTATTGAATAAACAAACGAGTCCCTTGTCACTACACACAGCAAAACACAGGCCCTGCCCTCACGAAGCTTACAGTCTGGGGAAGAAGCTGCAGGGACGGATGACACAAGCATCATGTATGATTGCAGTCACAGCTAGAGCTGTGACGGAAGTGAAGTGGAGAGGACGGACAACGCAAACCCACCAAGGCCTCGGAGCGCAGCGGGCCTTCGTGACGGGCCGGAGGAAGGCACGTGCTGCCCGCGTGGGCAGGGCTGTCCGAGGGGTGGCAGGCGCATGCCCTGCCCCGTGACGCCTCTGAGGCAGTGCTGGGCTGTGGAGCCTGAACCTGGCGAGCTGGGCAGAGACAGGCTGTAGGACCTGGTGGGTTACAGTAGGACTTTGGGTTCTGCAGTGGGAATCCATGAAAGGATTTCAAGCAGGGAAGTTAAATCACTGAATTTATGTTTAAGAAAGATTGCTCCAGCTGCTTTGTAGAAAATAGACGCGAGATGGACAATGCGTCCTGCTGAGATCCGCCCTGGGTGGGCTGTGGGAGTGGGCGGGGAGCTGTTCTCTCCGCTCCGAGTATCTGTTCCTCTCCTAGCCATGGAAACGGCCTCAGCTTGGGGCGCCAGCACACGCTCCATCTCTCCTCCTCCTCCTCCGGTCTCAGCCACACACTGCGTCCCTCCCTGAGCCCTTTCTCTCTCTCACACTCGCACTCACACTCACACACACGCACACCCCTTCTCAGACCTCCTTGCCTGTTGATAGTCTTGCAATCATTTTCAGCCCATTTAACTCTTAATTTCAGTATTTGTAACGTAATGTGTGTCTAATGTTCCAGTGAAAATCTAATCCTGCAGTAAAGTTAAAGCGTGTAAAATTTGGCTCTTTAAAATTCCATTCCTAAAAAAGCTTATCATTTTTTATGCACTATATGGCTTATTCCTTATGATTCGAGCATTTTGCGAATAGTTGACATTTTGGGATAGTTTCTGCTCAGTTACCTGCCTGTTCTGTTTAACTCACTCTGCAAGGGGTGGATTCAGAATATAACCAACTACTAAACTTTTTACCATGTCCCAGACCAGTATAAACATGTTCTTGCCCAAATGGAGAAAACAGCAAATGCTACTGCTCTTGTCTAACTATAGGCTCTTGTCTAATGACAGAGAGAGGTCCCACACAGCCTCCTTTGGCTTCGACATGCCTGAGTCTGACCTTGGGAATTCTCCCAGAGTGTGGACACAAAGACGTCCCAGCCTCACAGGCAGCCTGGGAGGATGCGGACACACACGCAAGACGCACACAGAGTCCCTCTTTCAGGAAGATTCATTTCTGATGAAAAACAGGTGTGCCTTCATTTAGCAAGTATTTATTGACCACCTGCTCTATGCCAGGCATTGTTCTTTGCACTTGGGATTCAGTGGTAAACAAAACAGACCAACATTCTTTAAGAAGTTTACATTCCAGTGGAAGACACTGAAAATAACAAGATATCACTAAAATATATAGTAGGTTGGATAATGTAAGTGCAAGGGAGAAAAAATAAAGTAGGGGAAGGGTAGAAAGAATTGGGTATAGCTGAAATGTTTGGATGGGCTGGGAAGGGGGGGCCTTTCTAGGAAGAAACTCGTTGACTTGTAAAAAGCATCTCCTTGTGCCCTCCTTACCCAAAATGAAATTATAACCCGAAGAATGATTATCTGAAGATCACAGGGTGAAAATGGTTATTGGATTTCCATTATTTCAATCACTACACGTCAGCCAACATCAGATCATAAATCAAAGCACAGCTTTCACAGATTTACCTGGGGAAAAAAAAGAACAGAAAAAGGAATCACTCCTCACCCTTGAACAGACCTGTCCCTGCTCTTGCCTTCCCTCTGTGGGTGTGGTCTGCAGGCTCCTCCTACTCACAGACCAGCTGGTCGGCAAGTTAAAACTGAAATTCACCGTTTGCTTCCGCTATCCCATTTCGAATGTTTGGGTGATTGTTTTCAGGTAATAGAAATGAATGCACACTTTGGGGTCATGCCAACCCGACCTCGCTAAATGGCTAGAAGTAGGAACAAACGGCTATTAGAACTCACTAAGCTGGAAATCAGCTCCGGTGGAAGGAAGCCTAAGGTGGAGGGAAAGCATTTGAGCAAGCCGTTTGCCACGGGGACGGGTCCAGGAGAAGGCATTCCAGGGGCAACAGGAAGTCCAAAGGCGTGGAGGCCCGCGAGGGCTCAGTCTATGCAAGGGGCCACTCAGCGTTCCGTGCTGCTAGCACCTCACGCACAAGGTAGGTCAGCGCAGGGCCATCTTCCCAAGCACCTCAGCCCCCCACGCCTGAGGCAGCGCCTTCACTCCTGGCATCCTGGTGTCTGAAGAGCACCTCAGAGCCTGTAGCTAAATATGCCCTGGGGCACTTTGAGAGGTTGAAGAGAGGGACCCTGAAGCCCAGGTTCAAGGACAAAGGGCCCTGCATGCGGAGGCCGCTGCTCTCCACCCTGCCCCTTGCGCCTCTGTCTCCGAGGCTCTGAAGGCGAGCTTCCTGCGATGACCCCTAGACAATGAGACCGCAAGTTATGGCCCTTGCGGGGGCAGGCCACAGACAGTCCCAGCCAGCCAGGCCTTCCACCAGCAGGCCTTGGGCCCGGACGCTACCCTGCGGCCAAACAGGGGGTGACATGACCACAGGCCTCACAACTCTATTTTAAGGTTGGAATACTAACACATATGAAAGTGCTTTGCAAACTTTAGAGTTTTTTTTTCTAGTTCTTGGCACATGGGATGAATGAATGAGGGAGTGAAAGACAGACCAACGGCACAGGAACCAATGTCCTGTGCCCTCCGAGGACGCACAGCACAAGGGCCCAAGGCCTGTGGGTGGTGACCACAGCAGGCCCACGGCACCACAGAGAACAGGGGACTGCCCCTGAACTGGGGCCGCTAAGGATCTTCTCAGTGTGTCTGCTTCATGGCAGGAGCTGTGACAAATATTCCTTTGGTTCAAAGAGTGAGCAGAAAGAAGTCAGCCTGGAAGACAAGTAACCGCAGCTTGGATCCCTGAGTTTTGATTGAGATGCAGTTTGCGATAAAACACGGCATGCCATATGCCCTGAAATGCACATGAGGGCATGGCGGAGGTGGCAATGCGCCGAAGGACCCAGTCAACTGCTGAACAGGAAAAGGGGTCTCACTCCGTCCAGGAAACCTGGACCTTTGAGACTTTAAACTTTTCTTTCTGTCCATGTAGTTCTCAATCAGCTGCTCCATATAAATATCAAAATATCACTATTTTATTTGTACTCTTTGCTTCAGTGGCCATGCAGATGCCACGTCCTACACTGCTTACAGGACCGAGTGGACCCCACAGGTCTGCCCGGATTCTTTCACCCCATTAGAGATCTTGCTGCCTTCTGGTCTGGGTTCCCTCCGCTCTGTGGGAATCATGTGTCCCATCACCTCCTCTCCCGCTTTCTTCTGATGCCCGCTTTCATTAGCTCCAAAGCGTCCTCCTTTCCAGGGATGCCACTGGCTTCCTCGGCTTCTCCCAAGAACAAGCAGCCTTGCATGTACGGAGTTGGCCCTGTGCTCAGAGTCAGCAATACCTGCTGGCTGCCGCTCCTGTACCCTGGGCTTCTTACACCTGTCATGGCTTGTAATTCTAGCAAAGCTATGTTCCCAGAGATATTTATACTCTGATCGACAAAGGTTTCTCCATAGGCCTGGAGTTTTAATTACACTGCCTTGAGAAAGTATTGGAGGAGGAAATCGACTTATGAAATCAATATGCATGGTCCGATCATTTGTGACAGAGCTCACTATCTGAAGACAAAAAACGTTCAGAATAATCATAGTTTTGCTGATGAGACAGCTTTTTTTTACTCTTAGGACTACCTCAGTTCCAAAATATAACTAAAATATGTATTAATACATTGCTTAAGTCAACACCACTCTGTTCCTACATTATGCCACATTCAGTATTTAAAGTTGGCTGAATAATTTAGCTGAAGAATGTCATGAGGTGTGAGGAGCAGCACTTGTGCAGGTGCTCATTTCGTTGTGATACACTCTGTGACTCTCCGCATGGGCCTCCTTGGCCCTCACAGACTGTGGGGGGGAGACAGCGAGTAGGAAGGGGGTCCAGACCTTGGCGACGTGGCGCAGGGAGTGCCAGGGCTGTCAACGTGCCAGGAGCAGGCGGGGCAGTTACGGAGGGGAGTTATCTAAAGGCTGGTCCTTAGCAAGGCACCCGAGGGAGCGAACGCAGCACCCAAGCAGCAGTGGCGACCTCAGCTTCCACGCTCACCTGGACCTCAGGGTCGCCTCCACCTCCTCTGCTTCCATTCACTCCTCAACCTACCGCAGTCTGGTCTCTGCACGTGTGCGCATGCGTGCGCACACACACACGCACACACACACACACACACACACACACACACAGACACACACACACACAGCCTCGCCTCCTGAAATTGCCGTGCTCTTTGATGGTCACCAACAACTTCTTCGTCATTAACTCCAACAAATGCGTCAGTCCTTCCTTGCCTGAACTCGCAGCAGCATCTGACATAAGGTGGGACGTCCCCTCCTCAAAGCCCTCTCTTCCCCTGGCCGCTGCTTTCCAGACCCTTCCTCTGCATTTCTTTCCCCACTTCTTCTTCTAAATGGGAGCGCTGCTCAGATAGTCGTCGTTGGATTTTTCTTTCTACTCCACACAACCACCTCAGCTCCCGTGGAGTCATTTCCGTCTTCCTGCCGATGACTGCAGCCAACCTGCAGTCCAACTACCGCTGCGTCCACCTCAGCACGTTCCAAGCGAAGCTCCTCACCTGCCTGCCCTCTGCCCTCTCACCCTGCCCCCTCTCTCCTATCTGCCATGCTTGACGTCTCCTACCGCCTCACCTACATTCAGACAGTCACAAAACCCTGACCATCACACCTCCAGAGATCTCCTGAATTTGCCCACTTCTCCCTAATACCGCCGCTGAATTTCGGGCCACTTAGCTCAATCCTGAACCTGTCTCCCAGCTCCCGCTGTCATTTCCCTCCAACGCATCCTTCAAGCTGCAGCCAAAGTAACCTTAAGAAAATGCAAAGCTGATGCATCAGTTACCATCCTTCAGTGGCTTTCCATTGAACTAAGAATAAAGATAAAACCTCTCCAGAGGTTGTAAGGCCTGCAGGGATCACCGTCAGTTCCTTTAACCACCACCCCTGCCTCTCCCCCATCCTCCCACTCAGGCCTGCCCACGTGCCCCACCCACCCTAATGGGGAAGGAAGGACCCACAAGGTCAATATCCACCCCCTGGTCTTTGCACTCACTGTTCCTGGCCTGCAACACAGCCCCTAACGTCTGGCTGGAGCCTATGGGTCCCTCGGTTCTTCGCTTAGCCGTCAGGTCCTCCGGGGGCCGGCAGACGTCTTCCTAGCCCTTCCCAGGGGGTGTCAGGTGACCCCATGGGTTTCACGCCGTGGAGTGCAGAGCGTTCGTCGCTGTGCTGATTCTTCTCCATTCAAACACGGTACTCTGGGCTCTGGGCACGTGAGGCCGCAGGTTTTCCTCACAGCCCGGGAGTCAGCAGGTAAGAAGCCCTCACTGAAGGGCCCACAAACGAACGGGCAATAATCTAAGAAAACAGAACTGAATTCTCCTTGTGCACAGCAATGCTCCCACACAGAATATATGTAGAGTAACAAACCCAAAAAAACTTACTCTAAGCGTTTGCTTACAAGCTACACAATACCTCATAAAACAAATGAAAACAGGGGAAAAAAATCTTACTTAAGTGTTTTTTCCAAATCACATAACTACATAAAGCTCCGTGCAGGCTCTTACAGTATGTGCCCTTCCCAATCTGTAAGCTGCCGGAAGCCTTGGACCTGTTCCTTTTTAGCTTCTTCTGAGGCTATAGAAGCATTGTACACTCCACTCCTTGTCCTTGATACAGACTTGTGCACCCCCAGCTGTTAATGACTCCCTTTTGGACCTACTTTCTCTGTGTTGATAGAAGCTCTGTGATGCAGCAGCTCATAACCTGCCTTGTCAAACATGTAGACGTGTTTGCTCAGAGTAGACAAACACAAATAACCACTACATGCCACACCACAATCAAGTTAGAAAAGCGTTGAACAAATCTTTACATAATCAGAAAATAACTGCTGATAAGCTGCAGATATCTAGAATCACTTTTTGTTCAGGGTGAGGTCACCACTCAGCCCCACATGGCCGCAGCATCATAGTAAATGCTGCACCGCAAACAAATGGTTCCTCTTGCAGGAAGTGTGAAATGTGTACTCAGAGATGGTATTTTACCAAAAATAATTTATACCTTGGCATCTGATGTAATGCAAATTTGATGAAAACATAAGACTGTTAAAATTAAGGGTATGAAATCCTTTGACTCACGCAATGTGCAGATGGAGAACTTTGGTGAATTTCAGAAATGTGGGCTGCAGACTGTGTTCTGAATGCACTAACATAGGTTGTACAGGTGGGCTCTTTTTAATAGGCATGAAAACATTCCCCATATGGAACTCTTATTAAAGAATACTGGTGGCAATCGCTGTCTACAGGTTATCCTGAATTTGTGGGTTTTTTGGTATTTCCTGACAGTGAGAATACAGAAAAACTGGAAGACTGGCAACCTCAAAGATGATCAAATACAGATTGAAAAGATCCACATGTTTCAGATTTCTATGATATAGGTTATGCAACTCATTAAAAACTCACTCCTCATTGAAAATAAGGAAGGCACAGACCCTGTCCGCAGGTGGCTCGCAGTCTGGGGAGGGAGAGGAGCAGGAGAAGAAATGCATGCTGAACGTCTGCTCTCTCTGGGTTGGCACTGTGTAAAGACTCACATATGATCTCATTTGATCATCACCGTCACGCCATGTCATTGGGGTTATCAGCTCCGTCTGTCTGAGACAGAAACAGAGGTTCCGAGAGAGCTGTCCCCCCAGATGGCCCCACGGGAAACCTGCTGTAGGGTGGTGTGCTAAGAGCTGTCCGCGCTGGAGGAGGCAAGCCTGCGCTGAGCGGATGACGGGAACACCCCCCAAGCTGATAGGAAGGCGGGAAGGAGCTCACGTGGTCAGACGCGATGACCTTGGAGCCCCTGATCTTCATGTCTTCATAAGCCATTTCCTGAGGAAGAGGTGCTTTAGACAGCTGGAAATTTGGGTCTGGAGTTCAGGGGACACCAAGGCTGGAGGTATGAATGAGGTGAGGAGGCACAAATCCAGATGAGAAAAGGGCTAAGGACTGAATTTTGGGGTTCAAAAAAAAAATCCCAGCGCTTAAGAGGCACACGGGAGAAGAGGAATCCACTGAAACGACAAAGGCGGAATTGTCTGAGATGCAGGCAGAGCCCGAGGACGCAACGCCGTGGAATAAAGGCTGCAGAGCAGACGCAGGTGGCGGCGGAGGGCAGCGGCAAGTCCTAGTGCTGGTGTGAGAGGGCCTGGCTGTGCTGTGGGCCGAGGAGACCTGACCGCGTGGACAGGCAGGAGGACAATCAGGCGGGCCCATCACTGTACACAGTTTGATGGTTCACACAGTGGTCCCCACACAGAGGCAAGGAGAGGCCAAAGGGGGACGTGGGCCACTCCCGATGGGCAGGAGGTGGTGGTTTTAAGAAGCGGTAAATGAGGAAACTTATTCCTGAGGCTTGTCTTGGTGCCCGAAAGCTGAGTAGATCTCTGCACTCAGCCACCAGAGCCTTGAAGTGTAAACAGAGAGGCCTGAACTGGATTCAGACACAGTTACTGTCCGATGGTCTTCGCAGCACCTTATGGCCCCTAGGCTGTGTCCTTGAGGCAGCTGCTAGTGTGGGGAAAGCGGGCAGAACATACATTCCAAGGACAGGGGACTGGGGGCAGTGCCCCCCATTGCTTGAGTCCATCTCCCAGGTCAGCAAGGGGTCACCTCCTCTCGATGACCTCCTCTGGATGGCAACTCCACCTAATACGACAGGCCAGCTTTGGTTTGGCGACACCTCTACACCCAGCAGAGAGAGGGCCGTGTGTGGAGACTCAGCGATGTTGTTCAATGACTGAATGAGGGGTTCAGTGAACTGATACTTGAGGGACCCCAAAGAATATGGGAGGAAAATGAGATCAGAATGCAGATGGAGACCTGCACAAGAGGACAGTCCCCTCTTTCTTTGAAACTATTATCACCAACGTTGAGCATGTTGCTAGAATAGAGGAGGCACTCAGCTGTTTGTGGGTGAAAAGAATGAAATTATATGAAGTGTGTTATCAAAATATAGCTCATCAGAGTTCCTTAATTTCACAGTTGGAAAATTCTATTTAAAAAAATAAGTTTAATAAACCGAGTTGAATGTTGGTCATCAACAATTTCGTAGTAGGTGTGCTAACATGAGCTTCTCTTGATTTTTCACCTTGAATGGCATAAGCCTTTCACTGTTAACTGTTTAATACTGTGCTTGAAAAAGGAAATTGATTACTGAACATTGAAGAAGCCAGGTTATTTTCAAATACGAGGAAGATTCTCATACTGATGTAATATAGGACACATTCATGGATAAATAAAAAGTGAGGCTAGATAAATAAGAATGAAATGTGGAAACCTGCTCTTCCAACTTGATGTTAATCCAGTGGGTAAAGAAAGAGACCACAGGAAGAGAGGAGAAAATGTTAAGAAACTATTTTTAAAATACAACCATACAAGCCTATAATCCTATGGGTATATGAAAAGATGTGTAAATGTGTAGAGAATTTAGGAATCACTTGGAAGGTTTTCCTCTTCCACTCGTGTCCTTTAAATGCCATCTGAGGCAGCACTGTGAGGTGACCCGGGCCCCCAGCCAAGAGCAGATTCTGCAGCGCACAGCTCTCTGCCACAGAAATGCCACCCGTCTCATTTCCGTTTGGACTTGTGTTTTCTTCTCCGATGCGGAGAGTCCGCATTCCCACGAGCATCTGCTTCTTCTCTATTCCAGCTGAAATATCACATCCAGGCCTCGGTTGGCAGAAACGCAAAGCCAGCCGTTTTCAAATGATGCAACCGCTCCTTCAGGTTCTGGAGCCCTGGAGGTCAGGGCATCCTCCTAAATTGTTCAGTGGATAAGCCTGCTCAGCTGTTTGCCTAGGTTTCTAATGTGACACCAGTTTTCTCCAACCCTCTCCTGTTCCCTGCAGTGTTTTCCTCGAGGAGTCATATTTGGATAATAAGAGCTGATAAAATAATTTCCTTGCTTCCCCATGCCCACTGTCACCACCTGGTCAGCCAGAATCAAGTGAACTGCTATGACTTCAAAACCTGCTACAGTTTCCAAAGTGCTTTCTCCTGTGTGCACTCCGACCTCTGCCAGGTCGAGGGCCTGGTTAAGACCCTGCAGTGGCTCCGGCTGCCCTCTAGGTGAAGCCTCGATTCCTTCATTCGACTTTAGGACCTTCAGAATGTGGCTCATTGCTGCCTACTTCCACCCAGTCCGCTGAGGCACTGTCCTCATGCACAGAACCATCGCCTCTGCACAGGGCCATTCTCCTCTCTACCCTGATGCCCGTCCTGTACTGGCCCCGTTCCCCTACCAGTCGGAGTGCTTTCCTCTCCTCTCCAGCCCTCTCCTATTCATTCTCCAGCCCTCCAGGGCCAGGGTAAGCTCTACCCCTTCCAGAGAGTTCTCTAACTCCTCCAGTTCCTGATGGGCACTCTTCCTGCTAGCGGCAGACAAAGTCACACTTGGTACTATTGGGACTGAGAGGGTACACTTAACTGTCCTTTGTTTGGGGGGTCCCTTTGGAAATACATCTTAGATTTCTTTCTATACTCCTTATGTCACCTAGGAAATGGCAAGCAAGTAATGCGTGTAAACACTCCCTAGGCCCTTGACTGTAGATTGTTAGTCCTTTAGATCTGAGGCCGCAGTGGTTTATCTCTGTTTGAGTGTCAGCAGCTGGAGAAAAACTAGTTGCAAACATTCTTACTTCAAACCCAATTCTCACATTACATCTTTAGCAACTGCAAATCTGTAAGTGGCCGAATCAGAGAGAAACTTCTGTAACTTCATTCAGTGTTGACCAAAATTAATGTTCGCCTCCAGGGGGTTGTCACTGCTTCTCAGCTATGTGCATTTGGCATCCTATGTTAAGGGTGATAAGAAGCTACAGAGGCGAACCGATGTGGCAGCTGATGGCTGTGCAAACTTTAAGCTTTGGCCATCCCCAAATCCTATGTCTCCTGCTAGCCTGGGCTACACCCATGTGCTCATGTCGCCTGCACAGACTCCAAATGGCACCTTTTCAGGGCTAGGTACATTTAGTACGTGTTTTAATACTTTTGACTCATTTAAGAGAGACACTCAGATATGGAAAGAAACGGAACTCAGGATTCATGGTTTGACTCCTCAAGTCCTATTCCTCAGATGTTTAAAAAGATCCAGGCATTTCCTAGATTCTCTTAAACTGTTTCTTCAATCATTTCAGATATTAGAATTAACTCCCCCTGGATTTTCATTTAAATTTTTAATTATATATTAACAGAAGAACCAGAAATAAACAGCATTCGTATTTTTGGTTTTCTGTGATTATTTATGTCTCTGCCTTCAGAATGAAATCATTTCCTTCCTGCCTAATCAGAAGGCTGAATTTAGGTAATGGA